TGTCCAGAAAAAGTCCTGGTAGTCTGTTTCCAGAGTCCACACTTTTTTTTTTATAATTATTTTATTGAGGTCATATTGGCTTCAGGTGTTCATCACTATATTTCACTTTCTATAGACTGCATCGTATTCACCACCAACAGTCCAGTTTTTATCCATTACCATACATATGTGCCCATTTACCCCTTTTACCCTCCCCCCACCCCCTTCTCCTCTGGTAACCACTAATCTGTTCTCCTTATCTATGTGTTTATTTGTTTATCTTCCACATATGAGTGAAATCATATGGTATTTGTCTGTCTCTGTCTGACTTATTTGGCTTAGCATAATACCCTTAAAGTCCGTCCATGTTGTTGCAAATATCACAATTTTGTCTTTTTTACGGCTGAGTAGTATTCCATTGTGTGTGTGTGTGTGTGTATGTGTGTGTATATACATATACCACATCTTCTTTATCCATTCATCCGTTTGTGGGCACTTGGGTTACTTTCACATCTTGGCTATTGTGAATAATGCTGCAGTGAACCTAGGGGTGCATTAATCTTTTTGAATTATTGATTTCGTGTTCTTTGGATGAATATACAGTAGTGGAATAGCTGGATCATGTGGTATTTCTATTTTTAATTTTTTGAGAAATCTCCATACTGTTTTCCATAGTGGCTGCACCAGTTTGCATTCCCACCAGCAGTGTATGAGGGTTCCCTTTTCTCCACATCTTCTCCAACAGTTGTTATTTGTTGTCTTGTTAATTATAGTCATTCTGTTAGGTGTGAGGTGATATCTCATTGTAGTTTTGGTTTGCATTTTCCTTTGAACATCTTTTCATGTGCCTGTTGGCCATCTATATATCTTCTTTGGAAAAATGTCTGTTCATATCCTCTGCCCTTTAGATTCACCCTGAGCTAACATCTTGTGCCAGTCTTCCTCTGTTTTGTATGTGGGTCGCTGCCACAGCATGGCTTGATGAGTGGTGTAGGTCCATGCCTGGGAACCGCACCTGGGCTGCTGAAGTGGAGCATGCCAAACTCAACCACTAGGCCATGGGGCCAGCCCCCTCTTCTGCCCATTTTTTGATCGGGCTGTTCATTTTTTTGTTATTGAGTTGTATGAGTTATTTCTATATTTTGGAAACTAACCCCTTGTCAGATATTTGATTTGCAAATATTGTCTCCCAGTTGGTGGGTTGTCTTTCATTTTTTTCATGGTTTCCTTTGCCTTGCAAAAGTTTTTTAGTCTAATGTAGTCCCATTTGTTTATTTTTTCTTTTGTTTCCTTTGCCTGAGTAGACATGGTATTTTAAAAGATACTGCTAAGACTGATGTCAAAGAGTGTACTGCCTATGTTTTCTTCTAAGAGTTTTATGGTTTCAGGTCTTACATTCAAGTCTTTAATCCACTTTGAGTTAATTTTTATGTATGGTATAAGGTGATGGCCTACTTTCATTCTTTTGCATGTGGCTATCCAGTTTTCCCAGCACAATTTGTTTGAAGAGACTTTCCTTTCTCCATCGTATGTTCTTGGCTCCTTTGTCAACGATTTGCTGTCCATAGATGTGTGGGGTTATTTCTGGGCTTTCAATTCTGTTCCATTGATCTGTCTGTCTGTTTTTGTGCCAGTACCATGCTGTTTTGATTACTATTGCTTTCTAGTATATTTTGAAGTCAGGGATTCTGATGCCTCCAGCTTTGTTCTTTTTTCTCAGGATTCCTTTGGCTATTCAGGGTCTTTTGTTGTTCCATACAAATTTTAGGATTCTTTGTTCTATTTCCATGCAGAACGTCATTGGAATTCTGATTGGGATTGCATTGAATCTGTAGATTGCTTTAGGTAATATGGACATTTTAACTATGTTTATTCTTCCAATATAGGAGCATGGACAATCTTCCCATTTCTTTATGTCTGCTTCGATTTCTTTTAATAATGTCTTATAGTTTTCAGTGTATAGGTCTTTCACCTCCTTGGTTAAATTTCTTCCTAGATATTTTATTCTTTGTGTTGCGATTGGAAATGTGATTGTATTCTTGATTTGTCTTTCTGTTAGTCTGTTATTAGTATATGGATGCATCTGATTTTTGTATGTTGATTTTGTATCCTGCAACTTTACTGTAATAATTGATTATTTCTAATAGTTTTTTGGTAGATTCTTTAGAGCTTTATATATATAGAATCATGTCATCCACAAATAGTGACAGTTTTATGTCTTCCTTTCCTATTTGGATCCCTTTTATTTCTTTTTCTTGCCTAATTGCTCTGGCTAAAACTTCCGGTACTATGTTGAATAAGAGTGGCAAGAGTGGGTGTCCTTGTCTGGTTCCTGTTCTCAGAGGAATGGCTTTCAGTTTTTCACTGTTGAGTATGATGTTGGGTGTGGGTTTGTCATATATGGCCTTGATTATGTTGAGGGACTTTCCTTCTATACCCATTTTATTGAGAGTTTTTATCATAAATGGATGTTGGATCTTGTCAAATGCTTTCTCTGCTTCTATTGAGATTATCATGTGATTTTTATTCTTTATTTTGTTAATGTGGTGTATCACGTTGATTGATTTGTGGATGTTGAACCATCCTTTGCATCCCTGAAATAAATCCCACTTGATCGTGGTCTATGATCCTTTTAATGTATTGTTGTATTCCATTTGCTAATATTTTGTTGAGGATTTTTGCATCTATGATCATCGGTGATATTGACCTGTATTTTCCTTTTTTGTGTTGTCCTTGTCTGGTTCTGGTATCAGGGTAATTTTGACTTTGTAGAATGAATCAGGAAGCATCCTGCCCTCCTCAATATTTCGCAATAGTTTGAGAAGGCTAGGTATTAAATCTTCTTTGAATGTTTGGTAGAATTCACCAGAGAAGCCATCTGGTCCTGGACTTTTGTTTTTTGGGAAATTTTTGATTATTGTTTCAATCTCTTTACTTATGATTGATCTATTCAGATTCTCTATTTCTTCTTCTTCTTTTTTTTTTTTTTGTGAGGAAGATTAGCCCTGAGCTAACATCCATGCCAATCCTCCTCTTTTTGCTGAGGAAGACTAGCCCTGAACTAACATCTGTGCCCCTCCTCCTCCACTTTACATGGGACGCCACCACAGCATGACCCGACAAGCAGCACATCTGTGTGCGCCCGGGATCCGAACCCAGGCCGCCAGCAGCGGAACACGTGCACCTAACTGCCACGCCTCTATTAGAGGGGCCGGCCCCCTCTATTTCTTCTTGATTCTGTTTTGGTAGGTTGTATGATTCTGAGAATTTATCCATTCTTCTAGGTAATATAATTTGTTGACATATAGCTTTTCATAGTATTCTCTTATACTCCTTTTTGTTTCTGTGGTTTCTATTGTAATTTCTCCTGTTTCATTTCTGATTTTATTTATTTGAGTCTTCTCTCTCTTTTTTTTTTTTTTTTTAGTGAATCGGGCTAAGGGTTTGTCAATTTTGTTTATCTTCTCAAAGAACCAGCTCTTAGTTTCATCAGTCTTTTCTATTGTTTTTTCAGTCAGAGTCCACACACTTACCCCCTGTGCTTTACTACCTTTGTTATGCTTGTGTCCACCCATCATTATTCAAATGCATTTTCTATTTTGGTGAATTTCCCTCCTTACAAGTTCTACCAAGTAGAAGGCATTTTTTTCTGCCTCCCTTGCAGGTAGGGTGCAGTCATGGGACCAAGACTCAGCCAGTCATGTGCTGGCTGAGCACATTGTACATGTGCTAGATTTACCTTCTGAAGAGAGTAATATGAGGAATAGACAGCATGTTGAATCCATTTTCTGGAAAGAGTGGCAGCAAAAGTGTACCAGTTTCAGAGGCAACAGTGGTGAAGGTTCAGGTATATAGTATCCAGTGGAGTAAGTGTAAGTGGGGCAAGTTGAAGTGTCTATCCAGTGCCGGTGGCCATGAGCCTTCACTGGAACCTCATAATATGGTTTGTATGATGTTTTACATGTATAGCTTCTAAGGATAACTCTCTGGCTCTCTGAGAGATGCTGTAGGCTACCTAATATCTCTTAATGAATTCCTTTTCTACTTCAACTAGCTAGAGTGAGTTTTGTTGTTCATAATTAAGAACTTCAATTGATTAAAATGGTAGGAGCGTTTCTCTGAGAAGAGCTGTTATGAGCTCCATTGTGTCATCTAGGATTCTTTTGAATTCATGTAACAGAATACACAACTCAATTTTGTTTAAAAATAAGGAAATTTATTTGCTCCTTTAACAGAAACTCCAGGCTTCAGGTCTGATTGATCTAGCAGCATAATGAGATCCTCATTGCCCCAGAGTCTTCTTTTATTTATTCTTTGCGATTGACAGTTACGGCTTCATCCTAAGGCTGCTTTCTCTTGTGGTCATAGGATGGCTGCCTATCTGACTTTCCTGCTTCCTTGTTCATGTCTAGCTTGAGAGCCACTCTGAGATGTCTCTCCCAGAAGAACAAGGAAGAACTTTTCTGAAAGTCTCAGATAGACATCTTCTCCTGTTTATTTGCTTATTACAGAAATAATTTTAGGTAAGGGAGATGCAAGTATTCTTAAACTAATGAGGCCCACCCTGGGACTGTAGTCAGTTCTTCCAAACTCTGCTGCTACTCAGTTAGGAAGGAGTTGAATAGAGTTAGTCATAACATCTACACCCCCAAAAGGTGAACATCCCCACAGTTATCCATTTATAAACTGCTACTTGATTAACTTTGAAAAATGCTTTTATAACAACCTGTTTGGTACGTATTATTGATCTCAATTTTAACGAGGTTGATATCAAGGCTCCAAGAAGTTAAATGATTTGCCCAAGTTTACACAGTCCTTACCAGGCAAGGACTGAAATCTGTGTCTTTTGATTTCAAGGTCTTGTATACTTTCCTTAATTCTAGCTGTTCTTAAGATAATAAGAATAAAATTAATATTTGAAACAATTTCCAGATATCGTGCCAATATAGAAATATCTGAGAAAAAATATCACTTACACTCTTCTTGAAAGTCTTTAACATCCATTTTTAAAAATTTACTAGATATAAAGAAATCTGAAGAAGATCAACTTCTCTATCCACCTCTTCTACCTAGCAAAGTAGATCTCCGGGAGGTCACCATAATTCCACACAATGAGTGGAAAAGGATTCGAGATAGCCTTGATAGTTTGGCAAGAGAAGCAGCATGCCTTCGTGCAGAAAGAAAGGCAAAGAAAGAAATGCATTTCCGATCCCAAGAAGTGGTAAAACATTGGACTAATACTTACGCAGTAAGTACTAACCACCCAGGAGTACACATACACTGAAGACTTACTCTTGTTTCTTAGTACTCTTTATAAATATTTTTTCACAAGTAAAATGTCATAAAAATCCATTGAAACACATTTTCAACAATTTTCTTTAGGTATAAGTAACATATGATAGACTGGACATTTTTAAAGTGTACAATTTGTTAAGTTTTGACATTTGTACACCCCGGAAACCATCATTATAATTAAGATAATGAACATATTCATCACTCAAAAAAGTTTCCTCATACCCCATTTTACTCCCTCTCACTCCTCCCCATCTCTCCGCCCCATCTCCAGGCAACCACTGATCTGCTTTCTATTATAAATTTCACTTAGCACAGTTATTTTGAAATTCTGTCATGTTGTGTGTATCAATTATTCACTCGTTTTTATTGCTCAGTGGTATTCCATTGTATGGATGTACCACAATTTGTTTATTTGTTCAATTGTTGATAGTATGACATTAACCAAATGTTGACATTTGAGCTATTTCCAGTTTTTGGCTATTATAAATAAAGCTGCTTGTGAACATTCATGAATCAGTCTATGTATGGACATATGCTTTCATTTCTCTTGGGTAAATATTTTAGTGTAGAATGGCTAAATCATATGATAGGTGTATATTTAACTTTGTAAGAAACTTCCAAGCTGTTTTCGAAAGTAGTTGTAATTTTACATTCCCACCAGCAGTGTATGAGAGTTCTGTTTCTTCCACATTCTTGCCAACTTGCTATGGTCAGTCTTTTTAATTATAGACATTCTAATAGGTGTGAAGTAGTATCTCATTATAGTTTTAATTTGAATTTCTCTAATTACAATGATGTTGAGCATCTTTTTATGAACTTATTTTCTATCTATATATTTTCTTTGGTGAAGTGTCTATTCAAATCTTTTACCCATGTTTAAACTGGGTTTGTTTTCTTATTATTGAGTTTAAAGAATTTAAAAAATATATTCTGAATATAAGTCCTTTATAGATATTTTTAGATATTTGATTTGAAAATATTTTCTCCCAGTCTGTGGCTTGGGTTTTTGGTTTTTTTTGTTTTTTGGTTTTTTTTTTGCTGAGGAAGATTCACCCTGAGCTAACATCTATGCCAGGCTTCCTCTATTTTGTATGTGGGTCACCACCACAGCATGGCCGCCAACGAGTGGTGTATGTGCACGCCCGGGAACTGAACCTGGGCCATTAAAGTGGAGTGTGCTGAATGTAACCACTGGGCCATGGGACTGGCCCCTGTGGCTTGGCTTTTGATTCTGTTACAGTGTCTTTTGAAGAGGCAAGTTTTTAATTTTAGTGAAGTCCAGTTTATGAATTCTTGTTTTATGGATCATTCTTTTATTGACTTGTCTAAGAAATCTTTGCCTAACCCAAGACCACAGATATTTTCTCCTGTGTTTAAGTTTAAAATTTTAGGTCTCATATGTAGGTCTATGGTCTATTTTTAGTTAATTTTTTATATGAAGTGAGGTATGGATTGAAGTTTATTTTTTTGCATGTAGATATCCAATTGTTTCAGCACAATTTGTTGAAAAGACTACTCTTTCCCCCACTAAACTGCCTTTACACCTTTGTTGAAAATCCAGTTGCACATATATGTGCAGGGGGGATTTTCTGGACTATCCGTTCTGTTCCACTGATTTATCTATCTTTATTCCACACTGTCCTGAGAACTGTAGGTTTAATTTAATAAGTCTATACTAACTGGGTAGTGTTAGTCCTTCGATTCTGTTGTTCTTTTCCAGTTGTTTTTGCTAATCTAGATCCTTTTCACTTCTATATGAATTCTAGAATCAGCTTGTCAATTTCTACAAAAAAGCCAGTTGGAATTTTGATTGGGATTGTGTTGAATTTCTAGATCACTTTGCAGAAAATTTACATCTTAACAGTATTGAGTCTTCTGGCCATGAACATGGTATCACTCTCCATTTATTTAGGTCTCATTTAATTTGTCAGCAGTATTTTATAGTTGTCAGTGTATAGGTCTTATTTGTCTTTTGTTGTATTTATCCCAAAGTAATTCATATTTTTGATGCTATTGTAAATGATATTTTTTAAAGTTTCAATTTGTGATTGTTCATCGTTAGCTATAGAAGTACAATTAATTTTTTTCTATATTGGTCTTGTATCCTGCAACATTGCTGACCTCAGTTATTTCTAGTAGCTTTTTTGTAGATTCCATCAGATTTTCTACATAGACAATTGTGATGTCAGAAATCAGAGACAATTTGCTTCTTTCTTTCCAATCTGGATGCCTTTTAGTTCTTTTTCTTGCCTTAGAACCTTCAATGCAATGTTGAATAGATGTTGAGAGTGGAAATTCTTGTCTTTTTCCTGGTCTTGAGGTTAAATATTCATTCTTTCACTTTTAAATATAATGCTAGGTAAAGGTTTTTTTTGTAGATGCCCTTAATTAAGATGAAGAAGTTGCCTTCTATCTCTAAATTGTTGCATTTTTTTGAAGTGACAATGGATGTTAGATTTTTTAAAGTGCTTTTTTTTGTGTGTGTGTATCTATTGAGGTAATCATGAGGTCCTTATATTTCATTTTGTTATATGGTGAATTACATTGATTGATTTTCAAATATTGAACCAAGCTTGCATTCCTGGGATAAAGCTCTGTTGGACATGATGTCTTATTCTTTTGATGGATTTGATTTACTAAAATGTCATTAATTTTTGCATCTGTATTCATGAGCGATATTGGTCTGTAGTTTTCTTAAAATATCTTTATCTGGTTTTGGTATCAGGGTATGGCTGTTTATTGTTGTGATGAAAGATTGCACAGAAAGACAGGACTTGAAACTAAGTGGAACCAAGGCAGCTTCTTTTCATCTGCCTCTGATTTGTCTCTCTTCCTGCCTATTTCTGTAGAACTACATAACGTCTTTGCTGTGTTCCTCTCTGCACTTCTGCTAGGTTCTCTACCTACGAGGTACAGTAACCTGTAGTTTAATTCCATGTGTATGAGTGGGAAGCTACTCCAAAGTGGGGAAGTGTCCTCTGACTCCTTTTATTATCTTACCTGGGGAAAAATCTGGGGAAAAGATGATCCCATCCCCCGCTACGCTTTCCTATATGGTTTGAGGCACTGAGAGGCAGGATTTTTTCCTATTTTCTGGTAGAATTAGTTTTTTATTTTTATTTTTTTGTGAGGAAGATCAGCCCTGAGCCAACATCTGCCAATCCTCCTCTGCTGAGGAAGACTAGCCCTGGGCTAACATCCATGCCCATCTTCCTCCACTTTATATGGGACGCCACCACAGCATGGCTTGACAAGCGGTGTGTCGGTGCGTGCCCAGGATCCGAACCGGCGAACCCTGGGCCGCCGCAGCGGAGTGCGCGTACTTAAGCACTTGCGCCACCGGGCCGGCCCCATACTGTTGATTTTTTAAAGGAACAAAAGTAGTAATATATGTAGTATGTAAATACAGAAAGGAACTTTGGAAGTAAACACAAGAAACTAATAATAATGGTTATCTTAGAGAGTGCAGTTGGAAGTTAGGATTGGAGGGAGAGGTTCACTGTATACTTTTATAATATTTTGGGGTTTTGAACCATGTAAATGTGTTACCTACCTAAAAATTTCAATTAAAAAAATTAGCTCATAAGTGTTACTTCATATTTTATTTATTAGTGATATATGCAAATATAATAAAGACTCATAATGAAAGCTCAAATTTTCACATTATGTTAAATTTTGTAAAATTAAACTGAAAAATGAAAACAGAGGACTGGTTTTGTCTTTTTGCAGGGGATGAAAGAACAGAAACTTGAAGCCAAAAAGAAGCGTGATGAAGAAATAGAGGCAGAAAGACAAATTCTTGATGTGGAAGAAGCAATACACAAACAAGGAGAAAGGAAAAAGGCCATTGAGAATGCAAAGCAATATCAATTTTACCAGACAGAAAGAGTGAAAAACTTTCATGTACTTCTTGAGTTTTCTTGTATTTTTATATATGTTTAACATATCTATATATAATTAGACCTTATTTTCTTAAAATACTGTAATTTTTTTTTTTTGTAGTCAGGACTTCTTCTTAGTAGAGTTATGAAAGAACGTGATGCACAGATTCAATCCCAAAAGAGTAAAATAAAATCAGATAAAAAGTGGGAGGAACAATTAAAACTCAACATTGAAAAAGCTTTTAAAGAAGAACAAGAAAAAGCAGAAAAACAACGTAGAGATAGAGTGGCTCTTGCCAATGATCATTTAAAACAGTATGTATCCATCAATTACCTTTTTTCTACCTTTCTCTTTTTCTTGTAGTGGATGTAGGGTTTTTTTTTCTGATTATAAATGTAATACATGCTGAAATACCTAGTAAGTAGAAAAAATACAAAGAAAGAGGTTAAAAAAATCGCTTTTACTCCCTTACCCAAGGATAATATATTGGTTACTATTATCACAATTATGCTGCATAACAAACAACCACACAATCTAGTGGCATTTAACAATAACCATTTATTTCTCATACATCTGTGGATTGGTCAGACTTGGCTGGGCAGCCTTTCTTCAAACTGCAGGACTGGCTGGGGTTTGCTTGTGGCTGTAGGGAGGGCTCTGATCTGCTCTATGTGTATACATTCTGAGGTCCAGGATGAACGGATAGCAGCCACCTAGGGGAAACTTTTCTCGTGGTATTGACAGAGATGCAAGAGAATGAGCCCAAGCTTGCAAGAACATAGCTAAACCCAAAATAAAGGTCAGGAAAGTACACTTAGCCTACCATGAGTCTAATGCGAGTCACATGGCCAAGCTTAACAACAGTGAACAGAGAAATAGACTCCCATGGAAGTAGGGAGTGAGAGAGTGAATCTTTTTGAATAATAATCTAATCCACCACAACAGTCTGTTATTGTTTTGGTATATAGCCTTGCACACTTTTTTTGGTGTTGGAGGTAGAGGGAGTCAGATTCACTGAGGTATAATTTACGTTTAATAAAATTCACTTTTTAAAAATCATAGAGCTGTATAACCACCCCCAAATCAACACTAGAACACTTGCATCACCCCAAATATTCCTTCATGCCCCTTTGCACTAAATTCTATCCCTCACCCTCAGCTCCTGGCAATCGTTGATCCACTGATACAGCCTTTTTTTTTCTGAGCATATATACTCACATTTTATAAAATGAAATTGAATCAACAGTATCATTTTAGTAAATGTTTTTTTCACTTACCAGTATGTCATGACTTCTTACCATTATCAGTAAATAGAAATCAAATTTGATGGGTTTTTTTTTTTTTTTTTTTTTGGTGAGGAAGATCCGCCCTGAACTAACATCTGTGCCAGTCTTCCTCTGTTTTGTATGTGGGTCGCCACCACAACATGGCTTGATGAGTGGTGTAGGTCCATACCTGGGATCCGAACCTGCGAACCCAGACCGCTGAAGCGGAGCATGCCAGACTTAACCACTGCGCTACAGGGCCAGCCCGCAAACCTGATCTTTTTAAAAAAGTTGCTACTATATATATGGGGGGCGATTGTATTTGTGTATAATTTTACTTACTTTTCTAAATAGCTGATATGTAGAAATAGGAAAAAGAACCAAGAGGGTTCAGTGAAAAGTCTCTTCCTTATTCACCAGCCGCCTTGTTTCTCCAATGTGAAACTTACCGGTTTCTTTACACTGTAGTTTAAATGTGCATACCTGTATCAAAAAACTTTAAATAATATTCTTGGTGGACATTTTTGCCATTTTTAAAGAAAAAAATTATTTTTGTACTTAAAACATCATATCATTAGTACATGATCATTATAGAATTACAAAAACATTAAACTAAATGAAAAATAAATTAAAAATCACCAGAATCTTTGTGATCTAGAGTAGGCACTGTTAACATTTGAGTGAATATTCATCTGCTCTTCAAAATTATTTTTTTTAATGTTGCAAATAATAAGTGAATATACGCTTATTGTTTAAAATTCAAGCACTACATCAAAATTTGGAATAAAATTTAAAAGCTCTTCTTCATATCCACCCTATTCAATATCTCTCTAAGTCCCATTTTCCTCTTCACAAGTAGCCATTATTAAAAGTTTTATAGGTATCCCTTCAGAATGTTTTATTGCAGTTGCTAATATTTGTATATAGGACATATTTAAGTGTGTATTTATTTTTTAACATAGATTTTATATATTCTTCTGTGACTTCGTTTTTTTTACTCAACAATATACCTTGAATATCTTTTCATGCCAGAATGTATGGGTCTGTCACATCTTTTAAAATAATTGTTGTATACTAAGAGTTTATCATTATTTATTTATCTATATTATTATTGAGGGAAATTTGGATTTTTCTCTCCCCCTCATTTCTAACAATGCTACAGTGAACATCCTTGAGCATATATCTTTTGTAACTTTTGTGCAAAGATGTATTTATATAGGATAGATTTCTTGCAACGGACTTGAATTTTACATTTAGAGAGATACTGCCAAATTGCCCTTTGAGAAGGCTATAATTATGCATTTATCAATGATGTCTGATACTCTTTTCTTTATATTATAACCAATTGTGGATAGTACTTTTTTTTGTAATTTAATGGACACAAAAATAGTATCTTTGGGCCGGCCCCGTGGCGTAGTGATTAAGTGCGCGCGTTGCGCTGCTGGCGGCCCGGGTTCGGATCCCGGGCGCGCACCGATGCGCCGTTTCTCTGGCCATGCTGAGGCCGCGTCCCACATACACCAACTAGAAGGATGTGCAACTATGATGTACAACTATCTACTGGGGCTTTGGGAGAAAAAAATAAATAAAATTAAAAAATAAAAACTTAAAAAAAAAAGAATAATTAAAAAAAAATAGTATCTTTTAATTTACATTTCTCTTAGTTTCTAGTGAGGCAGAGCATTTTTTCTTGTGTAAATATTCATTTGTTTTGGTTTTTATCATGAATTGGTTACTCCATTGTTCTCTTGTGTAGGTTGTTTCATGTTGATATGTCTATTTATCATTGATTAATTGATTAAAAACTGATTAATAGGCAGTTTTTATATCTGTTGGATATTAATAATTTATTAGATATATTGCAGATTTTTGTCATCTTTTCTGAATGGTTTTCAGTATTGAGAAAATATTTATTTTTATGTTCTCAAATGTGTCTCTTTTCATTATTTTGGTTTTGGTTTTTGTATATATATTTATTTCGCAAAATCACAAGTGTCTAAGTGACATAGACACCAATTCTCAGGATATGTGTGTTGCCAAATTATGTATTCTTCAGTTCTTTTAGCCCTTAGTGAAAGGAGAAGGGAAACCTTTGGGTTTATTATAATTTTTTTCTTTGGCATCATAGAGATCCTAGGGTTTGTGCAACTTAGGGACAGAGCTGTTGGCAGAGGAACACAAATATTTGACGAGTGAGTCACCTTTGAGAAATCTCTCTTCTTATATTGGCTGTTGCAGCTCAGAGGCAGTAACAGGTAGCGTGATCTTCAGCAAGCTACCTGGCAAGTGCTAACACCTTCACAGGCTATCCGACCACCTATAGCCTTTGCATGTAGGCTGTGTTTGGGCCACAGGATTCCCTTTCCATGTGGTCTTTGGCAATATTTTAGAGGTTCAAACAGGTTTAGGATTTCTTTTTGTTGTTTCTTTGGCTTGTCTTCAGTGCAGTCTAGGACATGTTCATCAGGGTCTGAGGTCAGCATGAATTCCTTTACTTACTCTTCATCGTGGCCTCAGTCTTTGTGTATGGTGGCCAAGTATTACTTATCCTCACTGCGCTCTCAACTACCCTATTTTCCCTGGAATCTCTTGAAAATTCAGGTACGCGGGAAAGACCTTGCTTTAGTTTCTAGTAGTGGTATACGATTTCCCCTATTCCATTGGTTGCACTGTAGGGAATTAGGATGGGGAGGACTTTTAACACAGGAGCTTGGGTTGCCAATTTGGTTCTAGAAGTCCTACATCTTAAATTTATTAAAAAACATTCAATTCTGCAACTGAAGACAACAAAGGAAAATGTAGGGCTGGCCCCGCGGCTTAGCGGTTAAGTGCGCACACTCTGCTGCTGGCGGCCCAGGTTCGGATCCTGGGCGTGCACCAACGCACCGCTTGTCGGGCCATGCTGAGGCCGCGTCCCACATACAGCAACTAGAAGGATGTGCAACTATGACATACAGCTATCTACTGGGGCTTTGGGGGAAAAAAAAAAAAGGA